CTTGACTGGGTGTGTATGAAGCCCTGGATTTGGTACCCAACTGACATCAGCTAAATATGATGGTGTTCACAGCAAGTCCAGTGTAGCAGGCTTTTTCTTTTGGGCCACCAACCAGCTCCCAAATCATGTCACAGAACTTTATTAGTTTTGAATGTTCATCCTAGGCTCATTTCTGTATAGCTCTTTTAACTTAAATTTACCTGTTTCTCTCTATCTACCTTCTGCCTCAGGGCTTTTTACTTTTCTTTCCTTCTGTATATCTCTTTACTTCTATATATCTTACCTTCACTGCTTTTCTATGGCTAGCTGGTGGCACCTGGCTTCTCGACCCTGGCATGTCCCCTCTTTCTCCTTGTTCTCTTCTCTTTCTTCTCCTAAGTCTTCTCTTGAGCCTAGATTCCTCCTTCCATTTATTCTCTGTGCCTGTCAACCCCACCCATTTCTCTCCTGCCTAGCTATTAGACATTCAGCTTTTTATTAGACCAGTCAGGTGCCTTAGGCAGGCAAGGTGAAACAAATGCAACACTTCTTTACATAATTAAACAAATGCAACAGAAACAAACATAACATACCTTTATATACTTTAAGTAATATTACACAGCTTAAACAAATGTAGCACATCTTTGCATAGTTAAATATTCCACAACAGTCCAGCAGCACTCCAGGAAGAATGTCTTTTTGTTTGTTTGGTTTTTTTTTTTTTTTTTTTTTTTTTTTTTTTAGGGTTTCTCTGTATTGCTTTGGAATGTGTCCTGGAACTCCCTCTGTAGACCAGGGTGGCCTCGAAATCACAGAGATCCGTCTGCCTCTGCCTCCTGAATGCTGGGATTAAAGACTTGCGCCACCACCGCTCATCTCAAAGAGAAAATTATCTTTTTTTTTTTTTATTGTTTTTGTTGCTGATGTTGTTGATGGAGACAAGGTCTCTCTATGTAGCTCTGGTTGTCCTGGAACTTGCTATGTAAACTAGGCTGACCTTGAACTCACAGAGATCTGTCTGCTTCTGCCTCTTGACCACTGGGATTAAAGGCCTACTGACCACTGGGATTAAAGGCCTACATCACCATGCTTAGTTGATATTGTTTTTAATTTAAAAAGTACATTTACTTATTTGTTTAGGAGGTGTGTCATGGCACAAATGTACATGTCAGAAGAAAACTTGCTGAAGGGCAGGGTTCTTTTTCATTGTGTGGTTCATGGGGATCGAACTCTGGTCATCAGTCTTGGTGGCAAGCACCTTTATCAGATGAGCCATTTCACTGATCCAGTCAATTTTAAATCTTTACATCATGCCTATATGCACAACTACAACCATCTACTCACACATAGGGGAGGCCCCGCCAGCAGTACCTTTTAACTCTTTCATAAATTACTCCCATGCAGAATGGCTCACAAGGGTGTAGGTAAATTAAGGTACTTGTTCACCAAGGGGCCCTACTAGCCTAGAAGAGCTGTTTCCAGCCCCAGCAAAGGAGGCAAAGGGTGGATGTATCAGAATATTAGAGACTCACAATGAACATCCATTAAGAGGCCTCACTGTGAGTTAACTATAACTGCTTCAAGTTTCTACAAACCAAGCATTTATCTTGAGATAGTTACTCTTCAAAGATAGTCCTGAGAGTTCATAGACTGACCTTCACTATTTGCAACTTCTGGAAAAACCTCTTTTGGGGTACTTAGCATTGGCACATATGACAAACAAACAGCCCTGAGATTGTGTTGCTATGTTACAGGGGACTTTCTGACCGCCAAGTGAAACCCAGAATGTCCCTCACTCTCTTCTCAACCCATACACTGGAAAGTCTGACTCAGAAAAAGTGTGCTGAGTGCACCTGCGTGCATGTCACATATACTGAAGCCATAGGCATAATCCTTCTAAGATAACCAGTGTGAATACTCTTTCATTCTGAAAACAATTGGTTCATTCTAAACCAAAATTGTCTTGAAGAGCAGGGCCAGTTGGAAGACACTGGATGTTGCAGGGTCTCTCCAGGGCTAATGAATGTCTGATGCCAATGGGCCCCTGACACATTAAAAATCTTTAGGCTTACTCCCACTGCCCCCTTCATCTGCTGTCTTTATCATAAAAATTTTCCCACAAGCACAGTTGAGTATTTTTTTATGAATGGACAGATTATTCCTCATAGCTTGTGTATGCTTTTCCAACACCATCTTTTTTTCTAATTATAGAGACTTAAGCCCCTGCAGTGGGAATTTTGAGTTCCTTTCTCGGGTAGGATATAAGTTTTGGCTTCAGATTAGAATGTCCCAGAATAACCACCGTTAAAAAGCCTCTCTGTGTTGATGTTTTCAGGGCCCTGCTTGACTGCAGATGTCCCAAGTTTATTACTCATTGTCCTTATATACCCGAGCAAAAGGGGAGGTCAAAAGACTTCCTTACCAAGACACTAGGAACAAACAAACATAATTACCTTCCCAATACCTAAAACATTTGGTAATCACGCCTTAAGTTAAACATCCTGTGATTTGGTCTTGAGGGTCAAGACATCCAGTAGTCACACCTTAAGTCAAACATACTGTAGTTTAACCTTGAGGAACAAGAATAGGTTTGAACTCTTTGACCCTAAATCAAAATGGAACAGAGTCAGTAGCAATGGGCCCAAACAGCCCAGCAGGTAAGAGTGCTTGGTGTTCTTCCAGAGGGCATGAGTTCAGTAACCTAGCAGCATACACACACACACACACACACACACACACACACACACACACTTTGGTTTGGTGGCTTGAATAAGAATGACCCTCCTAGGCTCAAATATTTGAATGCTTAGTCCCCAGTCGGTGGAGCTGTTCCGGAAAGTGTCTTAGTTAGGGTTTTGTTGCTGAGAAACCATGCCCACAGCAACTCTTATAAAGAAAACATTTAATTGGGGCTGGCTTATAGTTCAGAGGTTTAATCCATTATTTTCATGGTGGGAAGCAGGCAGACATGATTCTGGAAAGGCAGCCAAGAGTTCTACATCCAGATCTTCAGCAGCAGGAAGAGCAAGTCAGACACTGGGCCTGGTTTTAAAATCTGAAACCTACCCCCAGAGACTCACTTCCTCCAGCAAGGCCACACCTCCTATAGTGCCACTCCCTATGAGCATATGGGACCATTTTCATTCAAACCACCATAGAAGGATTAGAAGGTGTAGCCTTGTTGGAGGTGTGTCACTGAAGGCAAAACCCATGCAATTCCAGTTAGCTCTCTGCTTGTGTCTGTGAATCAGATGTAAGCTCTCAGCTACTGTTCAGAGGCCAAGCACCCTGAGTTGAGGGTTATAGATTCCAGACCTCTAGAACTGCAAGTTCCAAACTAACTACTTGCTTTTATAAGATGACTTGGTCATGGTGTTTAGTCACAGCAATAGAAAGTTAACTAGGACACATACAATTTTTTTTTTTTTAATGAAAATAAATCACTGTGTGGTGGTGGTGGTGGTGAATACCTTTAATCCAAGCAGCTGGGAGGCAGAGGCAAGTGGATCTCTGTGAGTTTAAGGCAAGCTTGGTCTACAAAGCAGTTTCCCTGACAGCTAGGGCTATCCAGAAAAACTCTGTCTTGAAAAACCAAAAATAAATCTTCAAAACAGGGAAGCTTAATTTTCTACACAAACCTGTTAGAAGCATGGTGGTGGGCAGACTCTGAAGACAATATGTCCAGAGGCAGGGACAACGTTTTTCAGACTCAGCAGGTCCCTGATGATATCAGTGACACTCTTCCAGGACTGGGGAGACTGAAGGGCTGGGGCCAGATTATTTTCCAAATCTGCCTAGAAGGCAAGACTCCCTGCTATATTCATACCTACTGGGTCTTTCCATTAACAACCACATTTGGAGGTCTATCTCAGAACCACAACCTGTCAATCCCAGAGCCCCTCAGGCTCCAGTTCCTAGATACTTCTTCAGCTGATCCAACTACATCCCTCCACTCCATTTATTCATTTTCCTCTCTCCTAGCAGATATTCGGTGAACATAGCCAGTGCTCGATGCCGGTATACAACTCCAAATAAGAAAATTAAGAAATAAACCAGAGAATTAAGGTTTTCAATACATGGGGAAGGAAAAAAACCCCACAGATACAGTGTTATGAATGGAGAAGAAGGAAATGGGAAATCATTTATGCCAAAGTAATCAGGGTTGCTTTCTAAGGAAAAAAAAAAAAAAAGGTTGCAATTCACACCCACCCCCTCCAGCCCAGGCTCTACTATTCTTCATTGTGCCCTGGGTTGGGGAATATATTGCCTATGATCATGCAATTTCTTTTGTTATGGGTACTGAGTAGTTAACTTCAATCATGAGCTTGAGAGAATCTAGAATTGCCTGAGTGATGAGCTTTGTGACATGGTGAAGTCTTATTAGTTAGTTGATGTGGGAACACTCATTTAATTCCAGGCAGGGCCTGGGCTGTGTCAGTGGAGAAAGAGCTGAGCACCAACCATGCCTTCACCTGTCTGTTCTGACTGTCCACTTCTGGGATCACCTGTTTCAGCTCCTTATGCTTTGCCTTTACCACCATGCTAGACCTTAACTTGGTGCAGGGAGTTGCCCTTAAGTTGCCCTTATCAGAGTATTTTACCACAGCAACAGAAACAAAACAACCAACTCCATCTGCCAGTTATTAGAAAATCAACCTCAACATCACTTTGACCTCCATTCCCTCAGCCAAATGTAAAGGCTTTCACTCCATGGACCTCCAAAATACCTGCTATACCTCTCCCTTTGTCTAGAACATCCTGCCTTAAATTGACCTGCTGTGCCATAATAGTGATCACATTTGTGAGCACAGATGATTCATTTGCAAATAGCACCTCGAATCTGGTAGCAACACTGGCAAATGATGTTATTATCTCTACGATGTTGATAAAGAAACTGAAATGTGGGGGTGATCTGTAACCTGCCCAAAGTTACCCATCTAGCAGGTAGTGCTGAGGTTCAAAATATCACCTCCAGGGAGTCCATTTTATTGCTCACAACAGATATTAACACAAGGCAAATGATGGTTTTATCATTGTATCCTGAAGTAAAAACAAAACTTCAATTACCTTTGTGTAACACAGCATCAAAAATCCAGAACTCTCCACCCCCTACCCAAACCCCCAGCATTAGATTGCAATTGCTGTGCTGTGATGAACTTCAACGTGGCTTTGTGATGGAAAGGCCTCATCTCCCAGTTCTGAAAATCTGGAACAAGGTGCAGATGCTTGCCATGGTCCCTGAAGGTGCTGGAGAAGTATCTGGCTGCATGTCTCTCCAGCTTTTGGAAGTTCCAGGAGTTTGTGGCAGTGCAAATACCATCTTCACAGCTGCCTGTGTGCTGATCTCCAAATTTCGCCTGTTTATAAAGACATGGGTCACATTTGTTAATACTTAAAATACAATAAAATCCAACATGAATTGTGCTAAGTTTCACTTTCCTGGCAAAGTGGAAATGAAATTACATTATCAAGTAAGGGCCAGGAGATTCAGGCATAGTGGATCTCTCAGGGAATCATAGGATACAGGAGATTGAAGCAAGAAGATTGCAATGAGGTTGAGGCTAGCCTGGGCTACATAGTGAGTTTCAGGCCTGATTGGGTGTCTTGGTTAAGATTTCTATTGCTATGAAGAGACACCATGACCACAGCAACTCTCATAAGGGAAAACACTTCACTGGGGCTGGATTACAGTTTCTGACGTTTAGTCCATTATCAACATGGTGGGAAGCATGGTACCATGCAGGCAGACATGGTGCTAGAGTTGCTGAGAGTTCTATATCTGGATCCTCAGGCAGCAGAAAGTGAATGTCACACCAGAACTGGCTTGAGCACTTGAGATCTCAAAGTCCACCCCCTAGTGGTGCCCTTCCTCCATTAAAGCCACACCTACTCCAACAGGCCACATCTCCTAATAGTTCAGCTATTGTGAGAGGCCATTTTTATTCAAACCACCACATTGGGCTGTGAACAAGACCCTGTGTCAGGCAGGCAGGTGGTGGTAGGCATGCCTTTAATCCCAACACTCGGGACACAGAGGCAGGTGGATCTCTGTGAGTTCAAGGCCAGCCTGGGCTACAAAGCAAGTTACAGAACAGGCTGCAAAGATACACAAAGAAACTGTGTCTCAAAAATCACACAAAAAAACAAAAACAAATGAACAAGAGCAAAAAAAGTAGCAAATGCCAGTCATGGTAGCACATGTCTTTAATCCCAGGACTCAGGAAGCAGAGACAGGGTATTTATTTTCTGTGAAGTCAAAATCAGCCTAGTCTACATAGCAAGTTCCATTCAAGCCAGGCTACATACTAAGACCTTATCTCAAAAACAAGACAAAACAACAATAACAAAATATAACACATTTAAAAAAAGGAAGGGGGAGATAATTTGGTTAAAAAAAAACACCTCTTTCATAACATAGCAATGAGGATATACTTTGGTATGGTGTTAGGAATAGAATCCAGTGCTTTGGGCATGGTGGGCAAGCATTATACCAGCTGAATTTGGCATCAAGAATCTTTTGAGCCATCTTGCTAGCTTACAGACACCCTTCTTAGCACTAGGCATGCTTCCAATCGCCACTGACTGGGTAAGGCCAGGTATTTATAACCAATATCTTAATGGCTACAGTTGTCCTCTGTATTTTCTAAGCTACCCTAGCCTGGAGGGATACTTAGAAACTGTCCTAAAAAAAAATTTAAAAAAAAGTTGTCTGTAATTCCAGCACATGCAATGCTGAGGCAAGAGGATCAAGGGTCTGAAGTCAATCTGGACTACATAGCAAAACTAAAATGAAAATACAAGAACTAAAATGCAAACAACCCCCCCCCAGTCAATTTATTTAATCATTAAGACAGGTATTAGAACTGTAAATTTCATTTTGTGAATATTTTGAAGATTTGGGGGGGGGGGGTCTTCCCATTTCTCCAAGTAGTTTGGAGCCGAAAGAGAAAAGACTAGTGACTTCAAAGCTTTGTTTAACATCAACAGCACAGAAACATTTTTGTTAGGAAAACCATTTTGGGAAATTTCCAGGAAAGGCTTAGCTTGTCAGAGAATGAGAAAATGAACAATTCAGGGATCTTCTGAAAGCCAGCCTCAGCAATAAGTGCCAACAGCATCAAAACAGCAGAAAAAGAAGATTATACCTTCTTTAAATACCAGAGAGAGAGCTAAGGGCTTTCCAAAGGAACCGGCTAGGTTTGTCTTTCAGTTGACTGAGATGAACGGAAGACAGATCACCACAGAAAGAAACATAGCTCAGATCCCACGTTCATTTATGTGACTTGCTTTTTCTGCATTTGTCACCGTAGCTCACAGAAGAGGGGACAGGGACTTTGGCACCCACATCTACCCCCATCTCTAGCTACTTAGTATCCCTGGAGTTCAAGGAGGGACTCTGAATTAATTTAGCATTTCTATAGAGTCTAAAATCTTTTTGACTGACAAGCACAAGCACAAGCACAAGCAAACCAACATGGTAATCACCCTGGCAATGGAGCCAGAGTAATCAGGTCATCTTTGGGGTTAATTTACTTATTTAGACATGGTCTCACAAAGCCCAGGCTGACCTGGAATACGCTATAGCATGACCTTTATCTTCTGATCCTCCTGCCTCTACCTCCCAAGCGCTGGTATGACAGGCATGGACCACCATGCTTGTCTTCAGGACATGAATGTGAATGAGTGTTAATTTCCTGAGCTGTGGCAAAGTCCCTCAACTTCTCTGGGTCTCCTGTGTAGTTTTAAGATGGACTAGAATGAGCCAGGCATTGGTGGCACATGCCTTTAATCCCTGCACTCGGGAGGCAGAGACAGGCAGATCTCTGTGAGTTCAAGGCCAGACTGATCTACAGAGCGAGTACCAAGATAGGCGCCAAAGCTACAGAGAAACCCTGTCTTGGGGGGGTGGGCAGGGAGGTTTTATAGTAGAATGCAGGGCAAAATAGTTTTGAATCACTTGAAATACATTTTTAAGAGCAGAAGTTGAGGCCCAGATCTGCCCATTATAAATTGTGGTCTGGCATGAAGATTGGAAGTGGGGGGGGGGGGGTTAAAGAAAGAGTGAGGCAGAGATGAACTTTCTGGAAGTTTTGCCAAGTAACCATACAAGCTCTTCTATAAAATCCCTGAGATGCCTGCAGGAAATTGATGGATATTCCAGAAGTAATGCACTAGCCTTGTACTACATGAAGCCTGGACCAAAAGCATTGTTAGTAGTTCTTTATTCTCATCCCTTAAGGAATAATTTGAGTTGGCCTCAGGGTTATAATCATAAAGGGAATGATACTAAATTTTATTGCTAGGAAGGAACTATGCACTGTTTTTGCTTTTGTTATTGTTTTGCTTGTTTTTGGCTCCTAAAAGCCCTGTGTCAATAAGTTAGCTCCTGCCTCAGTTCCTCATACTTCCAGGGCTGATAATATATCAGCTTCATAGACTGCTTGCCTAGTGTAAAGGCTAAATTTAATCCCCAGAACTTCAGGGTGGGAGGAGGCACGTAAAATGTCTTCATATTGTTTTTGTAAAAGTCAAAGATATAGAAATGAGGTACAAATAACAGAAAACAAAAGATAGTAGCTGGATTCTGGCTGGCTTAGATGGAGATTTTACCTGGAGAGATTTAAATTGCTTCCAGATAGGGTGGGAGTGTGATTTAGTGGGGGTGGGGGAGGATCTACATTCTGGCATCAAACACTTCTTTAAGTTCTGGCACAACCTCTTACTAGCTATGTGAATTTGGGTGACTCTTCTTATCCTTGCCAAACACCTGTCAACTGAGGCTGTTGTGACAAAGCACCATCAGTTGGATGGCTGAAACAATGGTCATGTACTTTCCATAGTGCCAGAGTCTGGAAGGTTCAAGATGGAAGTGGTTGTACTGAGAGGCATCTCAGCTGGTTTGCAGATGGCAGCTGTCTTAGTTAGGGTTTCTATTGCCTTAGTTGGGGTTTCTATTGCTGTGAAGAGACACCATGACCACAGCAACTCCTATAAAGGAAAACATTTAACTGGGGCTGGCTCACTTACAGCTTCAGAGGTCAGTCCATTATCATCATGGTGGGTGTGTGACAGTGTGTAGGCAGACAGTAGCTCAGAGTCCTACACCTTGCAGGCAATAGGAGGTTGACTGAGACACCGGGTGGTATCCTGAGCATAGGAAACTCAAAGCCTGCTCCACAGTGACATATGTCCTCCAACAAGGCCCTACCCACTTCAACAAAGTCACATCTCCTAATAGAGCCACTCCCTATGAGATTATGGGGGCCAATTACATTCAAACTATGACAGCTGCCTTCTTGCTGTATTGCAGGGTGGCATGGGGGTATAAAACTCCCCATGAGAATCAATCTCCCTGTTTTTGCAAGTCACTTATCCTATCACAAGAACTTGAGTATCACAACCTTATTTAAACCTCAAATCTCCTGCCATCACATAGGGGATTAGGGCTTCCCCATCTGAGTTCTAGGGGATAAAACATTCAAATATGTACCCTAGGTATCAGTTTCTTGTATCATATTCTTTAAAAGGTTTGAGAACAAAATGTTTATAAGCTTGGGCCCATAAGGAAACCCAAAGGAAGTGTACTGCCTGATTTTGTATGTCAACTTGACACAAGCTAGAACATCAGAGAGGAAGGAGCCTCAGTTGAGGAAATGCCTCCATGAGATCCAGCTGTAAGGCATTTTCTTAATTAGTGATCAATGCGGGAGGGTCCAGCCTATAGTGGGCGGTACCATCTCTGACCTGGTGGTCCTGGGTTCTATAAGAACCAGGGTTGTGAGGCGGGTGGCACACTCCTTTAATCCCAACACTAGGGAGGCAGAGGCAGGCAGATCTATATGAGTTTGAGGCCAGCCTGGTCTACAAAACTGTTACATTGTTACACAGATAAACCGTGTCTGGAAAAAAAAGGAAGGAAGGAAGGAAGGAAGGAAGGAAGGAAAGCAGACTGGCCAAGTCCTGTGAAACAAGCCAGTAAGCAGCATTCTTCATGGCCTCTGCATCAGCTCCTGCCACCAGGATCCTGCCCTGTTTGAGTTCCTGTCCTGACTTTCTTCAGTGATGAACAGCAATGTGAAAGTATAAGCCTAATAAACCCTTTCCTCCTCAACTTGCTTTTTGGTTATGGTGTTTCCTTGCATCAATAGAAACCCTAAGACAGAAAGCATTCAAACAATGTTAATTACCAGGCACTTTTGTATAAAATCTGAGGACTGAAAACTATTTCTTGAATCCCATGTTGGTGTTCTCAGGGCTATGCTGAGCATGTTCAAGCATGGTAGCCTTGGAATCCTTCATCCTCACCCTTGGGAGGTCAGGTCCATTCTCACTCTTTTACACACAAGTAACCTGAGAA